AAGATACATACATATTGCTTAGTATATAGAGATGCCTAGTGTTCAGTCATTGAGTGACTAATGAATCAATCTTTCAGTCAATAAGCATAAATCCAAAAGTTATTCTAGAATATTGTGACCTCCAAAGAGTTCAGTAAAAGCGAAAGCCCCGTTTACTTTTTATAAGTTAGATATAAACAGCTTTGGAGACAGGGTAAATAAAATAAACTATTTTCAAATTTTAAAATATTTATTTAGTATCCACTGTGGAAATCCCCCTGGTCCTGATGGGGAGTATAAAATGATTAAATCATGATCTCATCTTGGAGAAACTTAGGGTTAGTCAGAAAGTCGTAGCACATGCCCAAGAGAGCTAATTGTCAATGAATGGTACACAGATTTAAAAGATCAGAGAAATATGTATGGACTGGATAAAAAGGATATTGGAGCTTAAACTTGAAATTAGGTATAATGGAATGGATTGAGGAAGAGCAAAGGGAGTCATCTACATGGATGAAAAATAAGAATTGGAAGTGAGGAGAATATAAAGCAAGCATAAACAAAATTAGAGACTATAAATTCACACAGTTTCTCTGAGAAAAACACAGTGCTGTGTGGCAAAATTTGGGTGCTGGGGAGGGCCATAATTTTTCTCAAAAGTGTATCAAATGGGATCTTGACTGTAGCCTAAACTTGAACTTTTGGGGGAGACCTCATTTCCAGAAGTATGTCAATGGGTATTGAGTGTGAGGAGGGGTTAGTCTGCTTATACAAATTTGGAATCTCAACTAACAAAATTCCTTGTGAGTCTAGTTCATGGATATCAAGGAGGGGCCATAGTATGAATTTCTCTAGCATTTTACCACCAGACCTCTCTCTGTGCCTCATCTATCTGGACTGATATTTGTCTTCCATTCACATGTTGGGAACCAGTGGGGCTTGATAGTAGAGTCACAAAGAGTGTTAAGGCAGAGAAGTGACACAGTGAAAGAACTGATTAGGGGGAAGTAATCTGGTGGTGGTAGATGGGAGAGACTGGTGTCCCCTGCAGTGAGGGGTTTGGGAAGATGCATTAATAGTGGAGATGAATGGTTCTATTTTAATATACCAAAGGGGTAGAGTGCATTTTATACCCAGTCACTGCTTAGAGATGAACTGCAGAGCAACAAGGGCTGCAAATAAAGACTTGAATGTCATTAGTATACAGATGAGAGCACAATCTGTCAGGATGGGTCCCCAAAACAGACTGAAAGGAACAGAGGATTTATACTATTAATTGAAACATCTTTTTTATTTTTATTTTTTGATGTGTGGAGAAAGATGAGCCAACTCAGAAGAAATCAAAAATAGTTTAGTCCAAAAGACATGGGATTTTGTATAAGAGTCTTACTGTGAAAATTCTGTTATTTTTGTTGGTTAGACATTTGTTGGGAATTTTCACAAACTAAGTTATATTATGATTGTGAGAATGAAAGTGAGCATCTGTGGCTGTGTGATGATTGAGAAGTAAGAAAGGGAGCATTGTAAGGCAGAATCTTCATGCAGAGACGATGGGGATATTGATCCTACAAGAGGGAGATGGGATTATTGGGAGTCTGGGAACACAGATCGGATGGAATCATGGATGCACCTGGAGAAGTTTATCTTAGGAAACTACAATTACACCTCTTACTCAGAGACTTGGAAAACAGTGAGAGGGACTGTAAAAGGGCAGATAGATGGAAAGGTAGAGAATAGGTCAAATCCAATAGCTTGTTTCCAAGGGTGTAATCTTCCCAGGAAGGTGTTGCCCTATGGCTATGTTGACCGTTTGGTTTGGAGGAATATTTTAGAGAATCAAAAGAGACTAGACAAAATACATTGTCCAAGAAGTAAGGGGCCCATTTGGAGCTTGAAGAGTGAGTTCATTTTCTGTTGCCATGCAACAAATTACCACATATTTAGCACTTTATAAAACTCCCATTTATTAACTCACAGTTCATAGTTGAGAAGTCTTGATGGGCTCACTGCTCAGGGCTTTCTGCTTAGGAGTTCACAAGCCTGAAGTCAAGCTGTCAGCCAAGCTTGAGTCAATTGGAGGGTAAGGGGAGAATCCTCCACTAGGCTCAGCTAAGCTGTTGGTAGAATTTGGTTGCAGGACTGAGAGGTAGATTTCTTGCTGGCTGCGAGGCGGATCCCTCTCACTCATAGAGGTTGCTAGTTGTTCAGTTCTTTGCCACAGGACTTTTGAAAAACTCTCTCACAGACCTTCTCACAGCATCCAAGTTTATACCTTCAAGGTCAACAGCATGATCTCTGAAGTCCAATCCTCCTTCTTCCTGCCACAGGCTCTGCATCGCTCTGACTTCTGCTGATAGCCAGGGAAAACTTTCTTGCTTTTAAAGAACTCATATGATTACATTAGGTTGACCTATATAATCTCTTTTTAGATGAACTCAAAGTCAACTGATTAATAACCTTCATTACATTTGCATATTTCCTTTTCTCATGTAATGCAGTGAATGTGATGGGACATCATATTCACAGTCCTAGGTATTAGAGTGGGAAATTTGGGGGTGTTATGAGCTACTTAGTAGTGTGCCTTATACCTGCTCCTTTTTATCATTAGCGATTTAGAGGGCATTTTCACCAGGGTGTGGATACTTGCATGTGTAGTTTTATCCACATACATATTTCTGCCCATCATACATATTTAAATTAAAGTAAAATATAGTTTTCCATCATTCTCTTTTTTAAAAATGTTAATTCATGTGTCTTAGATATTTCTTAGATCACTGAAGTGACCTAGACATGTAGAAAACACAGCAAAGCTTTTTTCAAAAAAAATTGTTCCCACTTATCTTTATCAATCACTATAAATAAATAAATCATTCTCTGACAAGTAATATATTTCCTTGCTTTCACCCAAACCAGATTCTCAAAGTGGTAAGTTTTGTTTTGCATGCACTATCTTTTGATCTTTTAGTTTGCATTTTTGAGTTCAAAGTCACTGGGTTAGGTCTTTGTGATGTGTACATTGTAGTTGTTCCTGAGACTCCATTTTTGTTTTGCCAAGTTACCAGTAAAATATTGTAGTAATAATTAGAAAAGTAAAGGGAAAATAATGTTGAAATGGGAAAGTGTTGGGAAAAACTGTCAGGGCCAAAGGGAATGACTCATCACCAGAAAGTTTGGCTTTTGTTGTGCTTGTCAGGTAATACTTAGAAAAATGTTAATCTAAGTCATGTAGTTGAGTTCTTTATAAAATAATTCTTTCAATTAATGTGCTGTGGGTGTTTAAGTAATATTGTAATAGAATACATAATAAAGCAGATAATAATAGTCAGACTATATTAATTTTTTAATGTCCTAACACTATGCAGAGTATTGTATGTATACTTTCTCTCACAATAAGGACAATGGCTCAGGTATATTATTGTCCCTATTTTAGATACAAGGGAACTGAGTTAGTTATTCAGTAACTTGCACAATCAATGTCCAATGTCACATGGTAATTATATGTCAGAATCAGGATTCAAATCTATGCTGGCCCTTAGAAATGAAGTCCTTTATGATTATGCTAAACAAGAAATGATAAATGTTGTAAAGTAATACCATTATCCATCCTTTCTTTTTTGGATTCTGAATTGTTATGTGCTGTGTTATATATCTGTATCTTTCCTGAGGAAAGAAGCATTAAGCATAGTAACTTAACATTGCCTAAATCCATGTGACCATCCTTCTTTTTAAATTTACTATCTATTAATAAATTTGGAGAAATGCTGTTACATAGGGATACATTCTGACAAGAATTTTAAAATTATTGTCAAGTTGTTTTAGACTTCCATTTTTGTTAGGGAAAATACATTTTGAGGAATTGTAATGCTTTAGAATTCGTGACCATTTTAAAAAAATTTTGAAAGCTTTTGAATTGTCAAAGTATAGTTGTTTAGAGTAAATGTTCTTAGGTTTACTGAGAATATTTCACTCTATGATTTTCAATATGAATTGCTCTCCTTAGGTTGTGTGTTTAATTATCATCTGGTAATCAATACTATTGCTTAGAAAATTGCTTAGAAGTAACCACCATAACATTCTCATAAAGCCCCCCTGAAATTTTAAATGACTGTTAAGTGTTCAGCTGAGATATATTTCATTCGTAATATAGCAGTACCCTCTAGTGCTCATGATTAGTCATGTGTTCTCCAAAACTGCCTGAGAGGGGTAAGTATTATATATTAGATCATTGTACTCAGCTTTTGCTTTAAGTGAAATATTCTATTATTTATAACATCACCTTTTTGAAAAGGAGTTCAAGCATTTATAATATTACTAAAAAATATTACCAGCACTCTTGTGCTCAAGGGAAAATGGCTATTCCATCTATTTTGCTCATAAAAGTAAATGAAATACTTGAGAACCAAGAAGTTGGTTAAGTTTCTTAAGTTATTTGTAGAAATGGAAATAGGAATTAAGTCTTTTGTTCCAAGGTTTAGTTCTGTGCTATATGCATTGGACTATGTATCTGATCCAAGGAAATTTAAGTAAGCTAAACATGTATAGGTCCAAAATTCTAGATTCTTTTAACTGAATCTTTTTTGGAACAATAGTGCCATTTTAGTTATCAACTTTCTGAGAAATTTTGGATTGTTGGCTTAAAAAACAGCACCATATTATCATCCAATATTCCTCAAAGTAAGTTGTGTTGTATTGGAGTTTGACATCCTGCTCAAACATTGTTTATTCAGAAAGAGAGGATTGTCTAGTCAAAGGCTCCGTGAGCAAGAAGACCTGGTTTTATTTGCTGTCCAAAGCTTTAGCACAGAGCTGATATTCAAGTTGTAGTCCTTTTGGCTGTAAGACCTTGCTTCTTATTTCCGTGGTTTTTTGCTTTTCTTGTAGACTTGATTTGGTCAGGTGTCTACTTTAACATCGTGGACCCACATAAGAAAATAATTCTCATTTCTACATACGTTCCTGAATAGCATTCCAAGACGATTTGAAATGTGCTCTCAATGAATGTGCTTTGTATTCCCCTTTAGTTGTTACAGGGCAGGTCACGCAAACCCGAGAAGGGGGAGCTCCCCGCGGGCAGCGGCGGCGGCGCGGCCGAGCCGGCCAGCGGAGACTGCGACGACGAAGACGGCTGCGGGGGCTCGGGAAGCGGAGAGGTCAAGAGGACCCTGAAGACCGCAGACTGTGAGTGCATGACTCTAGCACCATACCTAAGGCGCCGGCTTTGAAACATCAGTCAGGGTAATTATTACTTCGAATTTAAAGAGATAATGACAGTGAATTTAGGAGCATGCCAGAGGAGTTAGAAATAAAACTAATCCTATTTTTAGTTATTTAGGGCGTGCATACTTGGGTTTTGTTTATTTGTAACTTATGGCTTTATACAGAGATAACACTGTTTTTGAAAAAATGCTGCATTCTAATATTATCATGCCATAATATCAAAATATTTTATTTTTAGTAGATTCATCAGAGTCAAGTTGCAATGAAATTGGTTAAATATATGGTTAAATATGGTTAAAAAAAAAGAACTGCTTAGAATTACTCCTGTGGATTTGGCCTTCCAAAAATGCTCACCAATCATTCACTTCGCTTTGATTCTGTGGGTCTGATAAGTACTTCTGTTATAGCTGTACTGGTCAATACCACAAAAGATGGAACTACCAATATTTTTCTTAAATCACCAAATAAATCTCCTTTTCTTGTGTTAACATGCAAAATGAGGAGTGTAAGTTCTCTACTCTCCATTGCTATGTGCATGCATTTGTTCACACGGGTGAGACAACCAAAGTTAGCGACTGAGGAGTAAGTGTGAAAGGCAGCTAACTTTCAAGGGCATACCAAACAGCTGTGCCCTGCATGAAGGCAGGTCTGATAGTCCCCCTGTTCGTCACGAGGGTCTATGTTGGACCTGTTGGTCATGTCCTTCCATTGGGAGAAGAATTTGTTTACTTTTTCGTTCTCTTGTAGTGAATTTGGAACACTACGAATGCTTCAAATATCAATGCCCCATTCCTCCTAGGCTCTTATTTACATGCTAAATATTAGTTAAAGGAATGGAAGCCAACAGAGGTGCAAGATCAAAGGGGAAATTAATAAAAAGAAATATGTTTTTCTGTTAAACACAGTAATATATAAATTTTACATAGAAGGTAGGCAGATGGGATTTAGTATGCACTTGGAGCAGCCATTGAACAAAGAGCCCCAAAATTCCTCAAAGTATTAATATAATTTCCTAGTGAAAATTAAATATCTTCTTCTCTTGTAGGAACAGATAAAGATATGTGTTCTTGTTATTGGTTTTAATGTAGTTTATCGCAAGAAGAAAACAAATGAAATCAAAAGAGTTTTATTAGGAAAAAAAGCTAAGTTAAAATCTTCACTGTGTTTTGGAATCATGATACTTATCTATTAGAATAATATTGAATAATCTCACATTTTCATCCTATCTTTAGTATTCATATGTGCTATAATTTTATTACCATTTAAATATTAAGTCATGAAAGTTATTACAAAATGTAGCTTAGGTTGAAATTTCATTTTAATATAAATTGTGTATGTGTAAAATTAGCAATTTTATAGGGATTTTTCACTCCTAAAATTATTTATAAGCTGGAGAATTTGTTATGTATTAATAAATGATCCTTTTTTTGGCCTGTTTCACCAAAGAAGTAGAGACAATGGAGGATATTCACCTGCTAATAGTTTTCTCCCATATCCGTACTTGTCAAGGTGGCAAGAATGAATGTTTTACTTCAAAACCCTGTTATCAATTACTACAGAAATGGATGGGTATGTTACAAGCAACTCTCCATCAGAATTGGGGAGATTTAAGATATACGTGGTTTTCAGCAAATCCTCATCTGCTATAAATGGTCTGCCTATTATGTTTCTAAGAGTTTATAGCTGTTGCCTTTCGATTTTTAATAAGTGGTTAGGAACTACTCTGGATAGCATGCTGAAATAGAGAAAGACAGAGAGAGTAGCAAAGAGTGGGTCATATTTCTATTTTTATAAGGCACAATAATATTTCTCCTGTGTTTGACTAGTTTGATATATTGGTAAAACAAATTAACACATAGTTTTACATGGTCTTACTGGCTTTAAAATATTCTACTTTAGGGAGTTTAAGAGGGTGTCATTTGTGTTTAGAACTTGAAATACACCATTACTTCTACCTCACATTGATGTGTGTTCTTTGTAAAATACAACATAGGTAGAACACAGTTTATTTGTCACCTAAAAATGAATTTATTTATTTCAATATATAATTATAAAGGAATAATTGTGCCATGTGAATTTGATGACTGCTCAATTTGTGCAAATATTCAAGTTGTTAAATATTTTACTAATCATCACTTACTCTTATTTTCTGTTTCTGTTTCTGTTCATGTTTATGTCAAGCAACCAAAAGCTCTGTGTACATCAATGTGCAAAGTTTCACAACCAAAATATTTACATACCTTTAGGTATTATGTGTTTTCATCACCAATGATATCAAATAATTTAACAAATTTTTAGCTTTTGAAACGGCCTTTATTTGTATCCCACCTACAGATTATTATTAAATGTGAACTGTCATGTTTCTCGTAAAATGCAGCCATCTATACTATGTAGTGTTCACTTTTAGAAAATTGAAGATTTTTTTTATTTCAGGAGAATGATTTTAAAATCCCAATGTTACAGAGACTTATTGTTTATATGATATTGAATTTGGCTCATTTATATAGGTGTGTTTATTTCACTAGTAACATGAATCGCTTTTAAACCTTCATTTCAACTCACCCCTGACACCTGCTATCTTCTCAAAGTGGCTAACTGTTGTAGGTTCTAAACACCAGTGGAAAAAGTTCTGTTAGCCATGCCGAGCAAACCCACTGTCATGCTACCATCAGTATTTTAGGACTATGTGAGTTTTCTTCTAGTATTCCCAAATTCTGATAGTTTCAAATGTTTAAAAACCAAACCAGAAGACTACTAAAGACAGGCTGTAAGAGAACTAGTCAATGTGTGTTTTTGAAAATTTGAAGTAGCATTGCTTGCAATTCTTTTGTGATATTATAATTTAATTTGTCACAACTTAGTTTTTTTAATTACATATAAACCATGATAAGCTTAATTTTGATAAGGTGGTTCACAGTAATAATGTCAGGCAACATGAATTTAATCACAAGCTGATATAGATACCGGACTTTCAGAAATAGTAAGGTAACTTTAAGTCTTTGTCTATTGTCATATTCATTATTGCTCACACAATATTATGTAGCATGTTTAACGGTTTTAAAAATAATTTCACTTTAACTGAGAAACCTGTAAATGAAAACTAAGTCTGGTAAGCGTGTGTTCAAATGTTTGTTTCCCAGTGGTGTTCTCAACATGCCTCTGCAAAATAGTTATGAGACGGGAGTGTAAAGACAGATGCATCCAGAGTACCAGGGCAGCAGACTGATCCCTAGGTCCTGCACATTGCCACCTATTTGGTCCCCCGGAGCCTTTCATTCTAAAGACTGTTTGTCATTAAGTTCTTCTTATCTCATGAGTGGCGCTTCCTCATCTCTTTAATGGGTTCTCTTCATTTTCCCACATTCCATATATTTAAAGAATCCAGGACTCATATCTCAACTATTCCCTGTTCCACAAACTGCCTACTGCATCATAGTAGCAATAACTATATGGTACCCTGCCATTGGTATACTCTCCAGTTTTAAAGCTTTCCTCTATGTGTTATCTCAGGTGGTAGGCTTAGCAAAACAGAAAACATTACATTTAAATGAGATTAATTTAGAAGTAGAGCGGTAACAAATTGGAATATCAAATTACTAGATGTAGAAAAAAATGATCTTTTATAGCCTAGAATAAATAGAACTTGTTTGTTCCATTGTTTATGCTGTACTTTGGATTTGTCACTTACTAACTAACCTTGGATCAGCCTCTAACAACTACATCTACATTATGGTACTGACAGTGACCTAAAAGAGCATAGGGTATTCTGTGTGCATAGGAGAATGACCTTGGAAGAGAATAGTGTATTTTACATGCATAGGAAAATGAAAATGATACTTTTTTTAGCCACTGAAAAATAAAGGTTCCTGATTTACAGTTGACCATTGAACAACATGCATGGGAACTGTGAAGGTCCACTTACATGCAGATTTTCTTTCAATAAATACACACAGTACTGTAAATATACTTTACCTTACTTAGGGTTTGTCCAATAACATTTTCTTTAGCTTACTTTATTATGAGAATACAGTGTATAATATATGTGTCATACAAATGTATGTTGACCAACTGTTCATATTATTGGTAAGACTTGGTCAACAGTGGGCTATAAGTAAAATTTTGAGAAGTAAAATGTTAGATGTGGATGTTCCACTGCATGAAGTAGTGGCCCTAACCTTCCTGTTATTCAAGGATCCACTCTCTTTGGTGACACTGTACCCCTCCTTACTCACACTTTTCTTTTGGGGGTTTCAGTTACATTCAGTCAACCAGAGTCTGGAAATACCAAATAGAAAATTCCAGAAATAGTTCATAAATTTTAAGTTGCACGCCATCCTGAGTAGCATGATGAAATGTGGCCTCATCCTACTCCATCCCATGGAGGCCACGAATCATCCCTTTGCCCAGTGTATCTACGCTGTATATGCTACCCCCGCATTAGTCACTTAGTAGCCCCCTTGGTGGTCAGATTGACATTTGCAGCATTGCAGTGACCTTGTTCAAGTATCGCTTACGCTACATTAATACTATGTCACAATGCCCACATCATTGACCTCGCTCCCTCCCATCCAATGGACATTCTATCATCTCACATGATCATAAGAAGGGTGACGACAGTACAATAAGATATTTTGAGAGAGGGACACTATATCAACATAACTCTTTATCTCATATTATTGTAATTGTTCTATTTTATTATTGTTGTTAATCTCTTACTGTGCATAATTTATAAGTTAAACTTTATCATAGGTTCTTATGTATAGGAAAAATAGATAGACAGGGTTTGGTACTATCTGTGGTCTCAGGCATCCCCGCAGCTTTCAAATGTATCCTTTGTGAGTGAAATTTCTTGGCTTTTACAAACTTATTTTCACCATAAATCACCTTCACTTCAAAATTTCAGGTAGGATGGAGGTTAGAAAGAACTCAAAAATACACTATAAGTGACATCTTCTTTAGAA